CGTTACATGGTCATTAAGGGTGAAATATTTACTGTGTAAACGTGAATAGTTCTCGTAAATTTATTGCTCTATTTCATCCTATCTATTTAAAAAAATTATAAATATACTAGTACTAGTTATTGTAAATATCATGACCGATAACCTTTATACACATATTAAAAACCAATGGTGGAATTGACACCTCAAACTCCCTGCGCAGGGTGTATATACATGCTTAACTTCTATTGTTTATGTTTATACATCCAAAGAATATCACGTAGAAATTTATTTAATTTAAATGAGTTGTCTCCTCAAACAAAGGACTAAAATTCATTAATTAAACCACAATGAAGCAAGATGTTTTGAATTTGATATTTCAGGATCTTAATTTGATCAATACAAAAACGATCGAAGGCTATGAGTACAATTCGACAAATCCAGCTTTTTAAAAAAATTGTAAAATTTGATTTTACCATTTTCGTTTTGTGATAACAAAGATTGTCACGTAGAATTTAGTTTGATTTGAATGAGTTTGTCTTCTCAAAACAGAGGACCAAAATTATTAATTAAACCACAATCGAACAAAATGTTCTGTATTACGTAAACTCGTGAGTATTCTTCACATTTTCGAGAAAATGGGGTGACTCGTTCTTAATTTGACCAAGCAAAAATTTGTGATGACGTCATCAACATGGATAATGCTAGTAACAGCAGAAAATTAGTCACAGCGTATTATCAATGCAAGAAAAAAAAGTATAGGGCCAAGTTCGACATCGAACCCACGACCGCAGGTCGCCGTTCTCTCCGAAAGCGCCATTGCGTCAGGAGGACTTAGATCCCGTGTTGATAAAATAACGTTATCATACTTTCTTTTTGCGAAAATTTGAACGTTTGGCGAAAAAAATAAAAGCGGATGCGTATACTACAAGTACAGGAGTATATTTTTGTATAACATTCAAATCATTTTAAATACAATTCATTGAAATGACGGGGTCATGAAACATCAAGAAAACATAAAAGTGGCCATTCGTCCGATGGACTCGATTACTATACTTCCTTAGCTTACGCTCGGGAAGTAAAAATAAATTTCCTGCTTCCGTCTGTCTGTCGTCTGTAGTTTGCTGGCGATTTTATCATATAGATATTCTACTGGACTGACTGTTGTGCAATTTTAGACGTCTTTTAGAAATAGTGTGTAATTGGTACAACACTCACTCCTATACTTGTAGTTTATCAATCCGCTTTTATTTTTTAGACATCCAGATATTTTGAAAAAGAAAAATAATGTATCATCATTGTACAGTTTAAGTTTGAAACTGCAAAACTGAATACTTTGAAATCTTACAAAGGTTTTAAGGTAAGCTTAGTAAATCGCTAGTCAAAATTTAACTGGTTACTCTTTCCAAAAACCGGTAATATTGTCTCAAAAATTTTGCTGAATTAACTTTATAATAAATGTGTAAAATATTAGGAGTCTGCTCTTATGGTTAAGCAATGCATTCCTCTTTTTAGAATTACTCATGCAAAATGACATAAAAAAAATTAATGAGTGTCGCAATTTATTTTATTGAATAAAACAAAAATTCGTACCAAATTTTCGTTCTCAATTGTCGACTCGGCTGGATTAGACTCTCTAATTCTCTAATTAACTGACCCCAGATCACCGCTTCGAACTAGCCGTATATGCTAGAAAACCCATAGACGTCGTACTGCGGCAGCGTATGGGTTGTGGTGACCGAATTTGAATTCAAATTTTGCGCTGAAATAAATTAACAGCGGCGCGAAATCGGATTTGAATAATTTGAATGTGAAAAAAAAATCAATCAAGAAAATCGTTAAACATAGGCAACTATGTGCACGTTTGGTTGGTAGCTCCTAGGAAAATTTCTATTCAGAGGGTTGGTAGAAGTTGATTTGGTGACTACACGGTAGGAGGCGGTCACTTTTGGTGTGTTTGTTGTGAGTGTAACCACGTGGTGAGTTAGTTGGGTTAAGTTTAGTTGGTTTGGTAATTAATAAAAATGGGGAGCATTTGTTTAACGAAAATTAATCGTAACGCCAACACGCGTAGCTAATTCTTGCACTTTTTCCAAGCGGAAATAAGCGAATTTTCGACAGACGCTAACATGTGTAAATTTGATTCATTGCTTGTAAATTCACAGTTCATGTTAGGATTTTAATCGTTAACTGGTTCTAACATAACGTAACAGTCATAAGTTTGTTCAGATAAAGGTAATTGCTAGGAGATTTCATGAAATTGACTTACTCAGGGCTCATCCTTTGTTTACCTAGTTATGAATAAGTTTCTGGATACTTATACTTAAGTGTTACATTATAACACTTCTTAATTCTTCACACAAGATTGCTAATAGTTCATTTATGGCAGTTAAAATTAACCTAACGTTATCCCACTCTGGGAAAAGGACCGTGAAAGTACGGAAGAATTCATAATATCGTGGACTGAGATGCGGGCGGGATTAGAAAATTTCCCTTTAGGCAGTTATCATCGTTATTATCATCATATTATCACAGCATCGAGACATATTTTTCACGCAACGTGGAAAATTACATCACCGAGAAGCTTTTCTCGCAACGGATGATAAATTTTGTGTTGTTTATTTATCATGCGTTTTGTTTGGGATAACCAGTGCACGATATAAACTCTCAAAGCTAATGGTTTTAAGTAGCTAATCACTTGGATCAAGGCATTATGTTAAATGATAATGTAAACTTTTTGTTTCAATCGTTGATAAAGTGTGGCATAATTTCGCGTAATGTAAATTCTTTGTTTGAATCGTTGATAAAGTGTAGCATAATTTAACATCAGGTACGCGGTGGAAGGATAGCCACGACCGGGAACCCCATACTCCGCTCGTGCTACAACGCCCCTATAGGTATTCTGCTGTACTCTAGAATGAAATCGCCACACTCTTATAGCATTATGGTGTCGCTCCCTCTGCATAGTTTTTTATTAAAATGTTGTTCTTTTGTTGACGTCCACAATAACTTGTGTATTTGCATCCAGTTACTTTACTTCAGATTTTGCTTTGTTTTTATTAAATTTGTGATATTCAAAAATTTGCATTGATTCAGAACGTTTAATTTGATTTCATTCAAAGTTTTTTTTTTGTAGCTGAGAATTAAGCGGTGTCCTCAACGGCCACAACTTAGTCACAGTTTTTTTTTTTTGTCAGTGGAGGCATAAATAATAATAATAGATTTTTTTAATTTTTCGCGGGCTTTTCAATTTTTTTCACATGTCAATTTAAGGCGGGATGTTTGGGTTATTTCAGGGTTTACTTCGTGACAATATTTTAAAATAATTTCATTTATCTTCTACCCTTTCACTGTGAACAATAAATTTCTGTTACATCCACAAAATGTTGAATATTTAGTTTTTTTACAAGAAAGAACTACTGGAATTGTAACCTCTACAATGTTTATAGACTGTATTAGTATTAATAATCCCGGAATGATTAGTTTTTATTAACCCCGACCAAAAAACAGGTGTGATATAAATCTGAAGCCCTTGTCTTTGCAGCACCCTGTGGTAGCACCTAACTCCAAACGGATGAACCGATTTCAATACTTTTTTTTGTTTAATCGAGTTGGTTATTAGCTCTATTTGATAATAATCACAACCATTTTAACATCATCGGCTCATTTCGCGCGAATATTAAGCAGTTTAATCTCTTTTAATTATTTCCGTACTACCCATGTCAAGAATCACTTAATATCCTTATTTATTTAATGTGATTTATGCTGTATAAGTTTATTTACTTATGCATAGACTGGGGCATTTTTTAACTCTAAACGATATGAAACGAAGCATTAAGCGTAATCCCTATGTGCAGTTTTAAAAAACATATATACGTCAATGCATTAGAGATATGCAACCAATGTTACATCCAGCCTCCATTAAAAAACCTATTCAGTAAATGTCAACTTATTTGAATTATTATCACAAAATATTTCACAAAATTATAAACAATGTTTATACTCGATGCATGGAGTATAAAAATCACAAATGAAATAGAGAAAATGATGTTTTACTGAAAAAAAAACTAGTTAAATATATATGCTATACAAAAGAAACCCAAATGTCTTCATTAAATTCATTCCAACTACAGAGTGTTAGTAAACGATTTACATCTAGAGAGTCGTGAACACGAGTTGACAAAAAATTTGCCGCCTTCGAAAAATACAGTTTTTTGGAGCAACCATCAATCTCTTGACCAGACCGAAAATAGGCTTCGATAATAAATTTATCTCCTTCTGGAGTTCACATTTTTCCATATCCTTCGTTATTTAAAGAAATAAAGATTAAAATTGTCTTCAAAGTTTGACAACTAATTTCCAGAGTAATTATTTAGGAAAAAGTTAAATGAAGCGGCACACTAATAAATGAATTTCAGACGCCACTAGATGTAAATCGTTTATTAATACCCTGTACTTCTTCGGAATTTCTTTTCAATAAAATTAAGTGTGTAAAATTGGTTACGAACTTCCAATACATTAATGAACGTTTTTCAAAACTTACCACAGGGATTAAGTATACTTACTTTCATATGTTCATAGTTAAAAAAAATCCCGGTACATATTTTCAAGATTAAGGATGCTAGACTTAAGCTTTGATCGCAGGTTAACTTCAGAAATAGGATTTTGGACAACTCGCTAAGAGGATTTCCATTTAGGAGAGATGGTAGCAAACTTATACCCTGATGCCTTTTTAAAAAATTGAGGGAGATTATCTGTCTAACAAAAATCCAGGACGGCAGACAGATAAACGAACAGACAGACAGACGGACAGGACAGAACATGTATGCAGGATAAAAAGTAAAAATGAAAAAACTTGGCATTCTGATTTCAGATTTTTTTCAAACTAATCAGGAATAAGAAACTGGAGTGTCAAATACTCGAGGGAAATAAATAAATGAATCTAGAATTCAACGAAAATCCGAAAACTAATTTTCTCTTTAAGGTAGTCAGAACTGACGGATTTAAATAAAAAAGTACATAAATACTGGAACATTTTTTATTGGTAAATCAATTGTCCTAGTTAAAACAATAACAAAAATAACAATCAATTAAAAATCAAACTGACAAAAAGTTCCCGATTTTTAATTGAGAACTAACTATATTATAATAAAAATAATTGGACTAGCATATTACAAACACTGATATAAAAAATAAAGAAAGTGTTATCGGCCAAAATACATGGCGGACACTACTCAGCTATTGTGACTAAAAACATACTTTTTCGAAACCGTGTTAAATTAAGTATGAATTGCAGGTTAAACGTTATATATTGAATTATTTACTCCTGCAGTTTCGAATCAGACCCTGTGTTTATTTGATAAGTGGAGTATTTAAATATCAAAAAAGACTACGCTGCTCTAGAAATGTAATATTAAAGCTAATATTGCTATAAAATTGTTTATATGTTAGCAATATATAAAATGCTGCATTTGATAAACCAGTTGAAGTAAGCTAATGGCATTTAAGTACAATATAAATTCGTGAAACTGACATTTTGTATCAGAACATTTCTAAACCGAAAGTGAAATTTTTAAAAAGGCTGAAACAAAATGTTAGCTTAACCATTAACCTATCCTGCCATAGGGTTTGATTATAGTTGATCACACATGAGGTAACCATTGGTGTTAGGCCATCGGGTTTTATAGTTTCAATTCAGTCAGTGTGTATATAAAAATACCTATGATGGTTACCAAACATGTTTTAAATTGCTAACAAGCGCCATTTTAATTTCGCTACTATATTACTCGGAAAGTTGTATCAGTGTTTGAAGACGTAATAAATAGATTGGTACTAAAATATAAATAATATATACAAAAATAAATAAAATTATAAACAGAGATGTACACTATACACACTACAAGACTTTTAGAAAATTTAAATCTAGAAACTTTGGTTTGTCCGAAGAAGAAATTTACAGTTGAAGGGTATTTACAGTGTTACTTATCAATATTGAACGAAGTGTGTTGTGTGCGATTTCTACGTCAAACCTGGAATGTCGAAAATCAATGTACAGTCGAACCTAATTAATTACAAAGTGTGTTTGATTGAAACATGTTCACCTCATAGAAGGTAACAAAAATTTCCTGTCGAGGTACATGAAAAAATATACAAGAGGAAGAAATAGTCTTCTCTAGAGATGCTGCATTTTTTGTGTCCTTAGATCGCTTATTCACATTTGAGTTCGCTCACAACCATCACTTTGGTAATCGTAAAAATAGTAAGTACGCCTATAAGATAAAGTTCCTCCGACGACAAACAACACCGATGAAATTCGTCCATTGCACTTTTCTTGCTGGGGCCACAAAACGAACAGTCTTAACTTAGCACTGTAGCACATCGCGTTTTACGTGAGGGTTAAATCTGCACTTAACTGCGATAGCCTTCTGGGATCTCTTCTGCCCCTACTCGATCCCCTTGTGCCACTCGTGTGATTGCTGTATCCCGAATCGGAGCCGAACGCGGAATCCTGAGAGTACGGTTTCGGCACGGGTCTGAAGGTAGCGAGGTGTCCCAGCACAGGCACGGTCTCGTAAGGTCCCGGAGTCGGCGACAGACACTGTATTCTCTGCGTTATGCTCGGTATCTGCCTGCGATGGGGCGGCTCCACGCTGCCGACCCGCGGGTAGAGCTGGAGGAGCGCGTCCAGCAGCATGCCTTCGTGAAACTCCTGCCGCCGCCTGTCCAGACTCCGGTGTCTCTTGCTGCCCGGGACCGGCGGCAAGGGCTCGTGGGGGCGACGGAAGCGCGCGTTTTCGCGGCGCGGGGGCGGCTCGGGGCGGTAGGGAGGCGGCGGAAGATCGAGGCGACGTCGGTCCATCTCTCCGCCTAAGCTGAGCTCGTCTTCGGCGAATTCGTCTTCGCTGTGAGGTGCTGGGGCTAGTTCGCTGTCCGCGTCGCTGAGTTCCTCGTAGACGGGGTTGTAGAGGTCCTGGGAGCAGTAGGGATCTGGACCTGGAGACGAACACAAGAAGACTGGTGGGTGTTGTGATATGGGGTAGCCGCTGGGGTAGTGGATGTTGTTCTTAACGTCTATCATCTGAAAATATCAAAGTTATTATTAGCGAGGAGTGTAATTGATGGGCATGGAGAGAAATTATTTTTCAACATTATTACATGGACCATGAGACAGTTAACATAGAACACAAACACAGATGTGTAATTAATGGCATCAAAGTTTAATTACCTATTCCACGTATCTAATAATGTGTAATATCCTGTTATAACAAACAAGAGAACATGTAGCTAGTGGTAGAACAGTGTAGACATAAAGCAATGAGGTAAAGTTTATTTTACGAAATTTTGTGATGACCTTTTGAATACCAAACTATTCAAATTTTGCTTCCGCATATGTGAAATAATATCTATTAAATAGCTAAAACGCAGCATCAGTGTTATCAATTTAACTTTATAAGAAAATGCTTCAGCGTACATCCATTTGAATAGTTAGTTAATAATACACAATTGTGTTTTAAATTAATAGATGCCATTATTTTTTTAACCGAAAATTCATATTTGAGGTTCCCAATAGCAAACAAAACATATTTTCTTTTACAGGTTGCATAAATTTTGTACAAACTTTTAAAACTCGAAAAAACCGATGTTCAAAATTTCTTGTGATTATTAAGTCATCTAAGACAAATATGCAGAGAATATTTACAATTGTGGCAAATTAAGAAAATACGGTATTTAATTTAATAAGAGAGGACACTGCTTTCAGACCAATTGATACTCCTTAGCAACCAATCGTCGCCTGAGGACTTGTTTGATCCACAGACCGGAGCGCGCTCAGGCCAATATCGACTCTAAGCGTTTAGAATTTCTGCGGGAAATAGTTACTATTTAGATGCTTTTATTTACAAACATAATATCACATCTCACATGTTTTACTCGATTTTGACACGCAACGATTTTTTTTTGTTTAACTATAAGAATTAATCGAAACATCAAAAAATTGGAAAATCGATAATTGAAAAATTCCGAAAATTGAAAAAGTGAAATATAGAAGAACTGAAAACTCGAGCAATCGAAAAACATAAAATTTTAAAAATTGAAAAGTTAAAGTAATATAATAAAACAGTTCGAAAATTGAACGAAATATCCAAAAATTGGGAAATCGAAAAGCCAAAAAAGCAAATTCGAAAAATTGAAAAATCAAAAACCTGAACAATTAGATTAATTGATACATCGGAAAACTGAAAATTTAGAAACGTCAAAACTTGAAAAATTAAAAAATATTGAAGAACTGAAAAATCGAAAAATTTTAAATTTAAAACATTGAAAAAACAAAATATTGTAAAATTGAAAAATTGGGAAATCCAAACATCAAAAAATCAAAAACTAAAAATTCGAAAATCTAAAATTTAAAAATCGAACAACTGAAAATCAACAAATCGAGAAATCGAAACTCGATTATTTAAAAAATTGGAAAATTAAAAAATCCAATAATACAAAAATCGAAACATCGAAAAATCGAAAAGTCGAAAAGGAAAAAAACAAAAATTGAGAAACTGAAATAAGCCAAAATCGAAAAATGGAAAAGTTAAAAATGGAAAAATTGGATAAAACGAAAAATTGAACAATCGAAACTTCCGAAACTCGATAAAACGAAATTTCTAAAAATTGAAACATCGAAAATTTAAAAATTCGGAAAATCGAAAAATTAAAATATTGAAGAACTGAAAACTCGAGAAATTGAAAAATCTAGAATTTTAAACATCGAAATATAAAACAATCGAAAAATTGAAAAATCCAAAGTTTAAAAAACGCATTTTTTTTGAGTCACCCTGTCTGCTTCGTTAAATAACCAAAAATTTTCGAACAAAAAATATAAAAATGGACTCGGGTTACAATAAGTCAAAAGACGACTTCATAGAGAGTTTTTCGTAGATTACAAATTTCAAAGTACCTTTGTTCTACCTCTTGGAATAATCGAGAAAAATAGGCAAACGTTTTCCAAAATTTTCAAAAAAAAAAATTAAACGAGCGCTTTTCTTATGGGAATAAGGGTAAGTTTATGGGGAAGTTTTCGTGGATTACGAATTCGAATTTACTTTTGCTGTGTCCATTCAAATAATGGAGAAAAATGAGTCAATAATTTTCCAAAAAAATTTTCAAAAAAAAATTAAAACCAATTGTTTTCGTATGGGAAAAAGAATACATTTGTAGAGAAATCTTTGTAGAGTAAGAATCTGAATTAACTTTCGTTTTGCTTCGTCAAATAACCAAAAAAACTGGATATTTTCCAAAATTTTCAAAAAAATTGTTCAAAAAAAAAAATTAAAATGAAGTCAAGTTGCAATGGCTTTTCGTAGATTACAAATTTCAAGTCACTTCTGCTCTACCTCTTGATATAATGGAGAAAAATGGCCCAATTTCCAAAAAAATTGGACCTAAAGATAAGTTGATGTAGAATTTTTCGCAGATCACGAGTTTGAAGTTTTGGTCTACCCTCTCAAATAACAGAACCTGGGGATAATTTTCAAAAATGTTCCAAAAAAAAAGTGAATTAATTTTTCCCTTCTTCGTTTTTGAAAAACAACAAATCCTCGTACAATAAAACCTTAGGTCCAGACTTGACCTGACCTGAAAGAATTTTGAATTATTTTTTGACCACTTTCACCCTTCATATACAGGGTGTTTCAACAATCTGGCGCGAAAAATTACACATTCTCCATGAAATAGGAAAAAACGCAATCAACGCAATTTGAGACTCATTAAAAATACTAGAAAAACCCAAAACTCAAAGAAATATCCAAAAATTTTGAAAAATAGAAATACTGAAGAACTGAAAAATCAAAAAGCCGAGAAATTGAAAAATCTAAAATTTAAAACATTGAACAATTAAAATTGAAAAATCGAGAAATCCAAACATCAAAAAATCAAAAAATTAAAATTCGAAAATTTAAAATTTAAAAATCCAAAAATTGAAAAATCCAGAAGAGTCGAAGAATCAAAACACTGGAAAATCCCAAAACTGAAAGAAATATCCAAAAATTGAGAAATTAAAAAATTTAAAAGATTGAACAATTAAAATTTTGCAAAATTGAAAAATCGAGAAATCCAAACATCAAAAGTACAAAAAATAAAAATTCCAAAATTTAAAATTTAAAAATCGAAAAACTGAAAAATTGACAAATCGAAACTTCAGAAATATCGGATAACTGAAAAATAGAAACATCAAAAAATTGGAAAATCGAAAAATTGAAAATCCCAAAAGTAAAAAATCGAAAAACCGAGAAATCCAAAAATCGAAACATCGAAAAATCCAAAAATTGAGACATCGAGGAGTCGAAAGACGAGAAGAAAAGTAAAAAATTAAAGAACTGATGAATCGAAACATTTTTAAAAAGAAAAATCGGAAAAATCGAAAATTTAAAAACTCGGAAAATTAAAAAATTGAAATATGGAAGAATTGAAAACTCGAGAAATCAAAAAATCTAGAATTTTAAAAACTGACTAATTAAAACATCGAAAAGTTGAAAGATTGAGATCGAAGTACAAAACAGTCGAAAAATTGAAAAGTCTAAAGTTTAACGAAAAATTGAAAATCTGAAAAGTAAAAATCTAGAAATCAAAAAATCCAGGAGTCCAAAAATCGAAAAGTTGAAAAATGGAGACATCCAAAAAATTGAGAAAATAAAAAATTGAAAAAGTGAGAAATCGAAAAACTGAAAAAGCAAAGTCGAAAAATCGTAAGCTTAAAAAATCGAAAAATTGAAAACTCAAAAAACGTGAAAAATTGATTGAAGAAATGAAAAAATGGAAACTTTGGGAAGTCGAGAAATGGGAAAATCAAAAATTAGATTAATTGATACATCGGAAAACTGAAAATTCAGAAACGTCAGAATTTGAAAAATGAAAAAAATATTGAAGAACCGAAAACTGGAAAAATCTAAAAATCCAAAATTTAAAACATTGAAAAATTAAAATGTAAAATTGAAAAATGGAGAAATCGAAACATCAAAATTGTAAAATAAAAATCCGAAAATCTAAAATTTAAAAATCGAAACACTGAAAAATCGAAAAATTCAAAAATTGGGACCTCGAGACATCCAAAAATCAAAAGATCGAGAAATCGAGAAGTTGAGAAGTCCAAAAATCGAAAAATTAAAAATCAAATAAATGGATAAATCTAGAGATTTATCAATTCAAAACATCGAAACATGCGAATCTCGATAAATCGAGATCTCAAAAAATTGAAAAATCCAAAATTTAAAAATTCGGAAAATTGAAAAACTGAGCAATCAAAATACAAGACAATCGAAAAATTGAAATATCCAAAGTTTAAATGACGAAAAACTGAAATTCCAAAAAATAAAGTATCTAGTACAGAAGTAGAAAAATCGAAAAGTCGAAGTATCAAAATAGTAGAAAATCCCAAAACTGAAAGAAATATCCAAAAATTGAGAAATTAAAAATTTGAAAAATTAAAAACAGAAATACTGAAGAACTGAAAAATCAAAAGGTCAAGAAATCGAAAAATTTAAAATGTAAAATATTGAACAATTAAAACTGAAAAATCGAAAAATTCGAACATCAAAAAATCAAAAAATAAAAATTCGAAAATTTAAAGATAAAAAAAAAAAAAACTGAACAATCTAGAAGTCGAAAAATTAAAAAGTCGAAGAATCGAAACACTGGAAAATCCCAAAACTGAAAGAAATATTCAAAAATTGAGAAATTAAAAAATTAGAAAATTGAGAAATCGAAAAAACAAAAAAAAACAAAGTTGAAAAATCGAAGAAGTGAAGAACTAAAAATCGAAACTTCGAAAGGTCGAGAAATGAGAAAATCAAGAATTGAATAATTGAGAAATCGGAAAACTGAAAATTTAGCAACGTTGAAACTTAAAAAACTGAAAAATAGAAATTCTGAAGATCTGAAAAATCAAAAAATGGGGAAATCAAAATATCTAAAATCTAAAAAATGCAATAATTAAAATTTCAAAAAATCGAAAAATAAAAAAATAAAAATTCAAAAATCGAAAAATTGAAAAATCGGATGACTGAAAAATAGAAACATTGAAAACTTGGAAAATCGAAAAATTGAAAAGCCCAAAAGTCAAAAATCGAAAAACCGAGAAATCCAAAAATCGAAATATCGAAAAATTCAACAATTGAGATTTCGAAAAATGTCAAACCGGAGGATGTAGAAATCGAGGAGTCGAAGGACGAGAAGAAAAGTTAAAAATTGAAAAATTGATGAATCGAGAAACTGAACAACCGAAACATCTGAATTCGTTAAATCAAGAAATCAAAAAATTGAAAAATCGAAAAATCTTAAAAAAAATCGGAAAAATTGAAATATGTATAGAAGAATTGAAAATTTGGGAAATCAAAAAACCTAGAATTTTAAAAACTGAAAAGTTAAAATATCGAAAATTCGAAAATTTGAGAAATCAAAGTATAAAACAGTCGAAAATTTTAAAAATCTATTAAATTTGTAAAAACCAAAAAGTAAAAATCTAGAAATTAAAAAATCCAGGAGTCCAAAAATCGAAAAGTCAAAAAATGGAAACATTCAAAAATCCCAAAAATGAAAAGAATATCAAAAAATCGAGGAATTAAAAATTGGAAAATTGAGAAATCGAAAAACTGAAAGAGCCAAGTCGAAAAATCGTAAGCTTAAAAAATCGAAAAAGTGAAAAATCAACAAATCTGAAAAATTGAAAAATTGAACCGAAAAAATGGAAACTTTGGGACGTCGAGAAATGGCAAAATCAAAAAATACATTATTTGAGACATCGGAAAACTGAAAATTCAGAAACGTCAAAATTTGAAAAATTAAAAAATATTGAAGAACTGAAAAATCGAAAAATCTAAAATTTAAAAAGTTAAAAGATCGTAAAATTGAAAAATGGAGAAATCGAAACATCAAAAAATCAAAACAACAAATATTCGAAAATCCAAAGTTTAAAAATCAAAAAACTAAAAAATCAACAAATCGAGAAATCGAAAAGCCGAAAAGTAATAAATCGAAACATCGAAAAATTCAAAAATTGGGACATCAAGAAATCAAAAAATCAATAGATCGAGAAATCGAGAAGTCAAAAAGTCGAGAAGTCCAAAAATCGAAAAATTAAAAATGGAATAAATAGATAAATCGAGATCCCAAAAAACTGAAAAATCGAAAATTTAAAAATTCGGAAAATATCGAGACGATGAAAAACTGCGCAATTGAAATATAAGACAATCGAAAAATTGAAAAAACTAATGTTTAAATAAGGAAAAACTGAAAATCTAAAAATTAAAAAATAGAAAAATCCAGAAGTCGAAAAATCGAAAAGTCAAAATACTGGAAAATTCCAAAATGAAAGACATATCCAAAAATTGAGAAATTAAAAAATTGGAAAATTGAGAAATCGAAAAACCACAAAAGCTAAGTCGAAAAATCAAAGAATTGAAGAACTGAAAAATCGAAACTTCGACAAGTCGAGAAATGGGAAAATCAAAAATATGTAGATTAATTAGGCAAAAAATCGACAAACCGACTAATCCAAAAATCGAAACATCGAAAAATTCAAAAATTGAGACATCGAGAAATCAAAAAACCTAGAATTTTAAAAATTGAAAAATTAACACATCGAAAATTTGAAAGATTCGAAGTATAAAACGGTCGAAAAATTGAAAAATCTAGAAATCAAAAATTGAAAAATCCCAAAACTGAAAGAAATTCCCAAAAAAAAGAGAAATTAAAAAATTAGAAAAGTGAGAAATCGAAACAAAAAAAGCAAAGTCGAAAAATTGAAAAATCAAAATCATCTACAGATGAAAAAATCGAGAAATCGGAAAGCCGAAAAATCTCAATAACGTATTTATATACCACCAGTTTAGGACTGTGCTACTTTTTAACATTTAAATAACATTTATCCGACAAAATTGTAAGATGATATGGAAAATGTTGTTGATTTTTCCTAAAATCTTGACACCTAAGGTAAAAACTCAGCACGGATTCATAATTAAAAGATAAAGAATTACAAACCTAACCCTAAAACTTTCATAAAAATTATTAAGATCGCACTTATGTGTGATTGTGTGAAAATTGGTTTACTGAAGTTGTTTTTTTTTAATAATTTTTTTTATTTTCCAATAAAATGTGTTAGCAATTTAAAGAATTTTTCCTTTATCTCACATAAATAATTTTCGTTTTGTTTTGATTGTAATGTGTCAAGTTTGGACCGTGAAATGTTAGAATGGTCACAGAAATGAAATGACACAAAGTGTATATTTGGTTGCATAACTTAATTTGTATTCTCTAATTTTTCAAGATTTCGATCATCGAAAAAATATTGCAACACGTTTGATTAATGGCTAGCTAATAATGTTGGCATTTTATTAATTTCACTCGCTCGCTTCGCTCGTTTGTGTAATTAAAAAAAAAAACCGATTGTTAATAGCCTTCGAACTAATGTCGTTACTATAATACGTGCTTTAGTATATAACAGGATATTCCCTTCATATTTGTTTGTTTTAGTGATTAATTCGTGCTACCTTAACGGTCAACCAAAAAACAAGATGAATTTGTGTATGGTAGCAAAACTCAGCGGTTTTTAGACTAAAAATATTGAAATACCCCGTCACTTACTATGAAATCATAGAATCATTGTAATATTATAAAACAAGCAAGCGAAAGCGATACTAAAATATTATATATGTATCTAACAATCTATTTCTATTATTATATACTTGGCAGAAAACATTAGTTACAGAATGAATTGTGATGAAAACACTTTCCATATAACAAAACAACACAAACAAATAAAAAATTATTTCAGAGCACACAATTTATTTTAATGAAAAGCGTCTAATATTTTCATACTTTTTTGCATTTGGCTGGTTCCTTACAGTCTTCTTTGGTAGGCGCAGACGCCGTGGTCCATGTACTTATTTACGCTTCGTTATGTCTTACCAGTGGGGTAAGCTGTTCAATGAAAAAATGAAGTAAATAAAAAATATGCACAAAATAAAAAAGCGATCCTTTTAAAAACGGTCCACGTTTCTGAGGGTGTTTGTTACCATCGGTTGGAAGCTTGTTTAATTAAAGCTCGCCCTTCTTTGCTTTGACAAATACATTTAATTCATCATAAAAGGAATGAAAACTTTGCGCCTGATACAAATTTGCGCATGGCCAGCTATACAAAGAGGATGTTTGCAAATTTCTATTTAACGTCCCTAATAATATGTGCTTGTTCATATTAGCATAAAACAATCCTTGTTACGACGCTGAACATGTTAGTCAAACTTTAGTTGATCGACAAACGAAGTTCCAAAACAATAAGCAACAGTGCCCTTTCATGCAAGTTGATACACTTGCAAAGCAATACCAACTGCTACCATGACTATGAAATAACTATTGATTATAGAATTACATAAGACTCTATGGAAATATGTAAAATGCAGCTGTTTGGGGCATGTGTATCGGTCACAGTTGCTTAATTTTACATAATATGCGAAGTGTTTCGCAAGTATTGTCTCGTCATCAAGGATAATGAATTTCGTCTGCGCGTTTTTGCGTTAAATTAAGAAAGGGTCAAAATCATAAAGGTGCTTGGCTGCAACAAAAGCTGTTCATACCTGAAAGGATGTGTCGGTTTAAAAATTTACTTACATTGTCGCCGGTGCGTTAAAGTTATAGCAAAAAAAAAACTTTTAATCAATTTCATACGAACCTCTATAGATGGAGCAACGATATGTCCACCAGCTGGGTGGTGGTGATGAGTTGGCGTTGGCCGTGGAATGACGTCATGAAGATCCTCATAAATGCCGCCTGCAGCAGTGGGACCATCACAGTTGTTTTGGGGTGAAGTTTTACAAGGTAGAAAATTTTGTACTTTCCTTTTATGTCTGCAACAAAAACTGCCATTAGTTTGATTGACACTATCTGGAAAGTGCATTATCCCTCATTATTAGACGCAATGGAGATTTTATCGTCATGACAAAACAGTATTTTAACTGTCTTTTAACTATTTTTTAATTATCTTCGCCGTCCTCAAGACGCTACCAGTATTAAATTTTGCCACAAATTTCATTTTAACTGCAAAGTTTGTTATGGAACATTCATCATAAAATGAGTTTTCGTGAAACGCAATTACTAATTATACTTTTATTAATAAACATTTGTAATTTGTATGGTTTCAACATTAAAAAATATGAGGAAAACTTATAGTGGGAACTAAAATTAATATATTACTATATAGAATTTCATCTCTTTTTAGAATAATGCAAGTGCACGTACTCTTCTTTATTTTTACTTTCACTATTTATTTCATTGTTCTGTCAAATATGAACACTCCTGATGAACAGTAAAGTAATCACAATCACCGCAAAAAATATTAATTTCTGTGATTTTTTTGTCAGGTTGGCAAAACATTTAAAACTTTATGATAGCACACCTGATGTCAGTTTGAAATTTTGGACTTAATTCAGGAGTTGCCCTTGGTTTTTAGGCGCGTTCACGTCAAACCTGACAACTATGACTGATATGCTAACATTGCTGCCAATAATTCAGATTTGCCAACCCAAAAATTTGTTTCAATCACAGATCTATTACTGTATTTAAAGATATTGAAATTCTGTAAAAGCCATTGTTTTTAGCGTGAAACGGGGAGCTTACTTTAATCCACGGAAAATATGACTTATATGGCGTGGTGTTGCTAGAAAAACCTATTAAATAAAGCTTCCCACTTTATGCTAAAAACAGATAAGAACAAGGAGTTTTATCTGGGACACTGGTATAAGTTATATTATTGGGTTTTCAAACAATAAAATTGTAGTAGTGTGCAGTGCTGCCAACTTGAAGGAAAATTCCCTGAAGCAGGGGGGATATTTTTCAGGTTGACTGCACTAATTCCAACAAAATCAAATTTTGATAGACAAAAATGAGGTCCACTAATATTAAGCCATTTAATCACCTCTTCACCGAAACCATCATATTTTAAATAGCTGTAAAACATGTTTAAAGTGCTAAATTTTTGTTGGAAAGTGTCGATTTTGCAATTAGGCTCCGCCCCTCGGTCTGACAACGAATGAAAAATTCATCACATTTGAGCTGGGGATGGATATGAGTGGGGCTTAATTTTTGACTGTTTTTTTTCTTAATATACATAGTATTCTTTGAACAACACGATATTCAAAAACATGTTTTTTATTTCTTGTCGAGAAATAAGGATTTTGCAATTAAGCTCCTCCCCTTGGCTCACGACGAATAAAAAAGTCGTCACAATTGAGATAGGCAGGGTGGGCGTGGCTTATATTTTGTCGTTTTTTCTTAATTTGTGTTGTCATCTTTTCACAATAAGAAATTTAAAACATGTTTAAAATGGTAAATTTGTATAGTTTTCTTTGTATAACACGATTACTTATCTCACATGGTAATTTCTCGTAGAAAAATAAGGATTTTACAAATAAGCTCCGCCCCTCGGATTACGATGAATAAAAAAAATCATCAGAATTGAGATAGGGTGGGTGGGTTTGTTTTATATTTTGCCTTTTTTTTCTTAATATACACAGCCATATTTTCATTACAAGAAACTTAAAACCTGGGTTAAATGGTTTTTACAAGGAAACATGGATTTTGTAAAATCGCAGCCTATTGCAAAATCGATATTTCCGTATACAAATTTTGAATTTTACACATGTTTTAAGTGTCATGTTGTGTAAAGAAATCTACACATATTAAAATAAAAAGACAAAATGTAGCCCCGCCCACCCGCCCCATCTCAATTGTGATGATTTTTTTAATTCTTAGAAACTAAAACATAGTTAAAATGGTAAATTTTCTTAAGGAAATACGGATTTTGCAATTAGGCTCCACCCCTAGGTCTACCAACGAATGAAACCTTCATTACTATGGGGTAGGGCTTTATTTTTTTCTTAATATACATAAGGGCCAATTATGAATCAAACATGTTAAAATTTAAAGGTTGTTAAAATAAGTATAAACAGACAATCGAAAAATTGAAAAATCTAAAGTTTAAAAACAGCGAAAAACTTAAAATCCAGAAGTCGAAAAATCGAAAAGTCAAAATAATAGAAAATCGCAAAACTAAAAGAAATATCCAAAAAATGAGAAATTAAAAAATTGGAAAATTGTGAAATCGAAAAACCAAAAAATGAAAGTCGAAAAATCGAAAAATTGAAACTTCGACAAGTCGAGAAATAAGAAAATCAAAAATCGATTAATTGAGAAATCCGAAAATTGAACACTTGGCAAATTCAGAATTTGAACAATCGAAAAATAGAAAAACTGAAGAACCGGAAACTCAAAAAATAAAAAATTGAAAATTTAAAATTTTAAAATCGAAAAACTGAAAAATCTACAAATCGAGATCGAAACTCCAGACTTTCAAAGATTGAAAAATTGAAAAAACGTATAAATGAAAAACAGAAACTTCGAAAAATTGCTAAATCGAAAAATTGTTAATCCCAAAAAAAATCCAAAACTCGAAACATCAAAAAATTCAAAAATTGAGACACCGAGAAATCAAAAACTCAGAAGATCGGGAAATCGAGGAGCCCAAAGACGAGAAGAAAAGTTAAAAATTGAAAAATTGATGAATCGAGAAATTGAACAATCTAAACATCTGAATTCGATAACTCGTGAAATTGAAAAATTGAAAAATTATCGTATCGAAAATTTGACACATTCGAAGCCTAAAACAGTCGAAAAATTGAAAAATCTAGATACCAAAAATCCAGGACTCCAAAAATCGAAAAGTCGAAACATGGACATACTGAAAAATTGAGAAATTAAAACATTGGAAAAGTGAGAAATCGAAACAAAAAAAGCAAAGTCGAAAAATCGTAAGCTTGAAAAATCGAAAAATTGAAAATTCAAAAATTCTGAAAAATCGAAAAATTGAAGAACTGAAAAAAATCGATACTTTGGGAAGTCGAGAAATAGGAAAATAAAAAAAGGTTAGTTCAGAAATCGGGAAACTGAAAATTTAGAAACCTCAAAATTTGAAAAATTGAAATCAAAATATTTAAAAATCGGAAAATTGGGAAATCGAAAATTTGAAGAATGGAAAAATTGGAAAAGTCCAAAATTGAAATATTGAAAAATTGAGACATCTACAGCTGAAAAATCGAAAAATCGAGAAATCGAAAAGCCGAAAAATTTCAATAGCGTATTTATAAACCACAAGATCAGGACTATGCTTCTTTGTATAACACGATTACTTAAGAACATATTTCACATGGTAATTTCTCGTAGAAAAATAAGGATTTTATAATTAAGCTCGGCCCCTCGGCTTACGGCGAATAAAAAAAATCATCAGAATTGAGATAGGGTGGGTGGGCGGGGCTTATATTTTGCCTTTTTTTTCTTACTATACACAGTCATCTTTTCATTACAAGAAACTTAAAATCTGGTTAAAATGGTTTTTACAAGGAAACATCGATTTTGCAATTATGGGGCGCAGTCTATTGCAAACTAGATATTTCCGTATACAAATTTTGAATTTTACACATGTTTTACGTTTCATGTTGTGAAAAGAACTCTACACATATTAAAATAAAAAGACAAAATGTTGCCCCGCCCACCCGTTCCATCTCAATTGTGATGATTTTTTTAATTCTTAGAAACCAAAACATGTTTAAAATGGTAAATTTTTTGAAGGAAATACGAATTTTGCAATTAGGCTTCATTACTATGGGGTGGGGCTTAATCTTTGGCTTTATTTTTTTCTTAATATACATAAGGGCCAATTATGAATCAAACATGTTAAAATTTAAAGGTTGTTAAAATATAAACAGACAATCGAAAAATTGAAAAATCTAAAGTTTAAACTTTGTGAAAAACTGAAAATCTAAAAAATTAAAATTGAAAAATCCAGAAGCCGAAAAATCGAAAAGTGAACAAAATAGAAAATCGCAAAACTAAAAGAAATATCCAAAAATTGAGGAATTAAAACATTGGAAAATTGAGAAATCGAAAAACCAAAAACTCAAAGTCGAAAAATCGACGAATTGAAGAACTGAAAAATCTAAACTTCGACAAGTCGAGAAATGAGAAAATCAAAAATAGATTAATTGAGAAATTGGAAAATTGAATACTTAGCAAAGTCAGAATTTGAACAATTGAAAAATAGAAAAACTGAAGAACCGGAAACAAAAAATAAAAAATCGAAAATTTAAAATTCAAAATCGAAAAACTGAAAAATCTACAAATCGAAATCGAAACTCCAGAACTTAGAAGATTGAAAAATTGAAAAACCGTATAGATGAAAAACAGAAAAGTCAAAATAATAGAAAATCCCAAAACTAAAAGAAATATCCAAAAATTGAGGAATTAAAAAACTGGAAAATTGAGAAATCGAAAAACCAAAAAATCAGAGTCGAAAAATCGAAGAATTGAAGAACTGAAAAATCGAAACTTCGACAAGTCGAGAAATGAGAAAATCAAAAATCGATTAATTGCGAAATCGGAAAATTGAACACTTAGCAACGTCAGAATTTGAAAAATTGAAAATCGAAAAACCGTATAAATGAAAAACAAAAACTTCGAAAAATTGGAAAATCGAAAAATTGATGAGCCCAAAAGTAAAAAATCGAAAAACCGAGAAATGCAAAAATCGAAACAAGGAAAAATTCAAAAATTGAGACATCGAGAAATCAAAAACTCATACGATCGGGAAATCGAGGAGTTGAAAGACGAGAAGAAAAGTTAAAAATTGAAAAATTGATGAATCGAGAAATTGAACAATCGAAACATCTGAATGCGATAAATCGAGAAATTGAAAAATTACCGCACCGAAAAGTTGAAAGATTCGAGTATAAAACAGTCGAAAAATTGAAAAATCTAGAAATCAAAAAATCTAGGAGTCCAAAAATCGAAAAGTCGA